AGAGTGATCCAGAGCGGGGGGGGGTTGCTAGTGAGAAACTCGGCAGGCATAGCAGCGCGAAAGCGGGCCTCACTAGTCTTAAGGTGGGTGATGAGGTCTGCGACAGTGTGAAAGGAGGCTAGGTCGGGGAACAGGTAGGGGAGAGTGAGGCGGCCTAGCGTGGCAGAAGCTGGCGAGGAGTAGCGGGCAACTACAGCGGTGTAGAGGTCCTTAGCAGTCTTGCACTGGCCGAAGTGCTCGCGCTCTTCTAGCGGCAGGGAGTTGCGAATAGCAAAGCGAGCGTGCGCATCACGGGTCTGCCACTGGGAACGCAGAGTGCTGTCAGCAGTCGAGTCAGGGGCAGTGGCATGGCCTAGGGCGTGGTCGTACAGTGAGATATCTTCCTTGGCAGTGAGCTGTAGGAACAGGTGCAGGTCATCGAGCCAGGTTTCGAACTTCACTGGACGGCCCTCGGCATCGAAAGCTAGAACTGGCGGACTAGCCATAGTGACAGTAGCAGTAGTAACAGTAGTAGTAGGAATCAGGCCGCTGGAAAGGTGTGCGGAGGGTCAACGGGGCCGGCGGGGCCGCTAGGCAAGGCGCGGGCGGGGTCGACTGTCCGTAGTGGCACACGAGCGGCAGTAGTAGGTAGCGTGGCAGCAGGAGCTGCAACGGTGCACTGGTGGCAGCTGCAGTGGCAGCAGTGCGCGCGGTAGGTAGAAGGTAAACAACAGTGAGAGCGAGTGCCTCGCGGGCGGCGGCTGCAGAAGCGCACAGGCGGCAGCGGCGCACTGGGAACGGCGGTGCACGGGCAGCGGGAGCGCACGGGCAGCGGCAGCGTAGGAGCAGCGACGGCGCACGGGCAGCGGCGGCGCACAGGCAGCGGCGGCGCTCGGGAGGCAGCAGTGCGCAAGCAGCAGCGGAAGCAGCGGCGTACGAGCGGCTGCGGGCAGCGGGGCGTGCGCTAGCAGGCGACGGGCGGCTGCGGGGCGTGCGCGAGCAGGCGACGGGCGGCTGCGGGGCGCGCGCGAGCAGGCGACGGGCGGCTGCGGGCGGGCGGCCGCTGCGACAGCGGGCTGCGGGCCTGCGGGACGTGCGCGAGCAGGCGACGGGCGGCTGCGGGGCGCGCGCGAGCAGGCGACGGGCGGCTGCGGGGCGTGCGCTAGCAGGCGACGGGCGGCTGCGGGGCGTGCGCGAGCAGGCGACGGGCGGCTGCGGGGCGCGCGCGAGCAGGCGACGGGCGGCTGCGGGCCGCGCGCGAGCAGGCGACGGGCCGCGCGCGAGGGAAATAAGGCGCGCGCGGGAAAAAAAAGGCCGCGCGCGAGCGGCTAAGGGGCGGCGCGACGGGGCCTTAAGGGGCGGGTCGCGGGTCGCGGGAGGTAGGGGCCGTAAAAAAGTTCGAGGCGCCCTAGGTAGGTAGGTAACGGTGGGCCCTTAAAAAAAAACGGTCCTAGCGAAGGACCTGCTCTGAAACCATGTCAGAATGAACGGACAGGAATGACTGTACTAGCACAAAGTTGGATACAAGTAGTAAACCCTAATCTAGTGTACCCCCTAAGGTGTAACCCACTACAGCCTACAATCATATAAACATATAATGTTTGACACAATGTCCGGAGTGATGTCTATCACTGCGTGTAGTTCAGCGAGTGCTCGATTTGGAATCACCGCTGGAAGGATGCCTGGTTTGAGGATGGCAGGGTGTGCTAAGAAACAGTGTGTGCTAAAAGGGAGGCAGACCGCAGCTCTCGCCACCTCTTCTGATGGTGAGGCGCCAAAGCGGCGAAGCGCGCGATGAGCGGCTAGAGCGCGGATTTGGGTGGAAGAAGCGATTGCTCCAAGACCTCCATGGCGTGTGGAATTATACAGGAGACGATTAGGGATGAGACGGACCGCAAGGCCGTGTTCCTTGAAACGAGAGGAGGAAAGGAAGTTCCCGACCAAAACGTCAAGGCGCTTGATAATGTCGGGGGATGGGGGTTGAAAGCGGCCAGGGAAAGAGAGAATGGAGTTTAAGAAAACAGACGCAAGTGATTTGCGGCAGGAAGCAGTGGCACGCAGGGCGGCAAGGAATTTAGCAAAGCGCTGAACGCGAGAGAGAGTCGTAGACCAAGTAGTGGCGCCTGGTTGTGCACGTTCTACATAAATTCCCAGAATACGTTCTGCCTCTTGAGGAGTGCGAATAGGAATAGGGCCAGCAAGGAGGATATGTTCCGCAGCAATGTGAAATGGGATGATTGAGCATTTATTCCAGTTGGGGTGTTCTTCGGAGACAGCGGCAAAGGTCCGGAGGTGTATAAGTGTGGTCCCAAGCTCTCTAACAGAGGAGAGGAAGATGGTGACATCGTCAGCGTAGCACGCCATGAGGCGACGTTGGGTCGTAGAGAGGGGGAAGCCTCGGAGAAAAAGGGATAGGTAACGCTGAAGGATTTCGATGACACAAACAAAAAGAAGTGGGGCGAGGGGGCATCCTTGTCGGACCCCCGTTCGAACGGGGAAAGTGGGCCCTACAAGGTTGTTAACAGAGATGTCGGTGGAGGTGTTGGAGTGCATGAGGCGGACCCAGGCGATGAAATGCTCAGGGAGTCCGAGGAGAGCGAGCGCCCGGAAGAGGAAGGGACGGTCAACCAAATCATAGGCCTTACGGAAATCAACAGTTAAGGCGAGCAGGGGGGTCTCAGTGAGTGTGCTCCAGTCGAAAATGTCGAGTGTGTCGTTAATTGTCTCGCCAAAAGGCTCTGATTACCAAGTGTCACAGGATCGAATTCTCATTCGAACGTGTCACTGAAAATGAATACAAGGCGTTTTTATACTCGGAAATTACACAAATGAGATCAAACGAACATTCGGGAACACGCCCTTCCCGATACTACAATCACAAGTGCGCACAAGCACACAAGGCTATTGGCACTTGGGATTACACCCAGATTACGCCGTATACACCACTGTCAGCGCTGTCGGTGCCGTATCATACATATGTCGGTGGGAAAAATAGGAAATAAGTGAAATAAAGAGAAGGCTCTAGAAAATAGAATAGTAGGCCGATTGAGATGAAATAAAGACCAGAATAAAGAGGAGAAAAATGAGAATCAGTTAAGGAAAAATATAATAATGAGAAAATATTATAACGGGGATGTCCTCTCACAGTATGTGTGCAACTGCTCCATGTACATCACTGCATCTACTAACGTGAAGAACGCGTTTTCCAAATGGATTTGTCGGAGTGGCAAGTGTCATGTAGCAGCGATGGCGAGGAGGATTCTGACGGAGGTGTGAGGGCTGACTGGTGCAAATGTCTTGTCAAAGTCGTTGACGTGCCTCTGATCGTAGCCGCGCACCACCCAGCGCGCCTTGAAGCGCTCGATCGTTCCGTCAGCTGCGGTCTTCACGCGGAAGACCCATTTCTCGGAAAGGATTCTCCTTCCTTTGATTGCCACTCGATCGACGAGCACCCAGGTATCGCGAAACTCAAGAGCTTTAATCTCCGCATCCATTGCCTCGCGCCACTCCTTGCTGTGTGGTCCCGTGAGAGCTTGATGCGGGTTCTTTGGCTCGATGACACGTGGCGCCGTTGAGGTGGCGGTGTGGAGCCCGAGAAGTTGTAGTCCACTGACGGTGCTGACGTGGCAATGCTGTGGGATGACCCTCTGTACGTTATCGTCGTTTCTCTCTGGTTCAGGCTGTGCTGGTGGTGTTGCGCCTCTGTCGCTTCCGCTTCCGCCTGCTGTGCCAGCTCCTGCCGCTGCTTCCGTGCCTCCTGCAGATGAGTCATCGTCGTCGTCGTCGCTGCTGCGGTGGTCGCCTCTTGTAAACTCGCCTCTGGTGTCCTTCTCCAGAATGGCCGCTGCAGCTTTGTCCTCATGTGTAGCATAGCTGTGCCCGTCACTAGCGTAAACGCGGTTCGCGTTCGTCTGCTCGTCTTCGCAAAACTGCTGGAGGAAGGGTCGCTCGTAGAAAATAATGTCGCGCGTATTCATGGTTTTTGGCTCATGAGGTCCAGGATGAGCCATGCCTTGTGTTCATGGCTGATGCCGAGGTGGATACCCCAGCGCGCGCGGCTTGCCAACTTCCTGATAGTTGACGTTGGCGGGCGGTACTGCACCATGCATCCCCACACGCGGAGCATGGATGTGTCGCCCTTGGTTCCGGTCCACTTCACATGCGGGGACAGGTTGCCGGTGATGGCGGTGGTTGACAGCAGATTGTGTACCTGCACGGCATGGTGCATCGCGTAGGTCCAGTAGATCGACGGAAGTTTTGACTGCTTCATCAGTGCCCGCACTTTCGTCATCAGCGTGCGAATCATGCGCTCGGGCTACGCGATGCTACTGATGCGCGTAGGGGAGAGAGATGTGGTGCTCGATCCCCTTTTGCGCCAGGTAATCCTGCAGCTCCTTGCTTCTGAATTCTGCCGCGCCGTCAGATTGCCAGATTTTCAATTTCTCCCCAGATTGCCGCTGCGCGTGTGCTAGCCAGAGGCGTAACACTTCGTACACTCTGCGTGTCCTCATAGCTAGAGTAGCCACTATGTAATCGCGTGCCTTCATTGTATTTTCAGTTCATTGCGTCACATCCTCGTTATTTGTTATTCTACAGCTCATAACACAAACCTTAAAATGTTTCAGTAAAGTCTTGGATATATATATGTATTTATTTATTTCTGTAACAAGTTATTCTGTTGTCGCCTCATTTTCCTAGCATGAACCCAGACACTTTTGCTGCGGGGGGGCTCTCATGCGGCTTGGCATGACGCCCAGGCCGAACCTGAAACGTGTTTGGATGAGCGAGGCGCCGTGGCGTCCCAGCGTCTGCTCCGCGTTTTCCTCACACCTTTCGTTCCTTCCCTGATCACATACGTCTGCAACGGTGTATTTGTTTGCCACGTGGCCTGCCTAGTCACACTAAAAGTGTTCTCCCTGCAAGCAGGTGAACAAACTGGAGCAGAGCCATTGCGAGTGACTATATCAGGAGGTAGACTGTGTGCATGACAACGGACGCACGCATCGATGATTGGCCATTCTATGGTTATGTGGCAGTGGTGGGACGTGGAACAACGCCTTTGTTTGAACTGGGGAAGGGGAACGAAGGTGGTGGCGTTACTTCTATTAGCGAGAATTTTGCGACATACGGCGAAACCAAGGGTGCCCTAGACTAGTCCCAGAGAAGGCTTGCACCGCCAGAGCAGTCAGAGAGAATGCCTTGGCAAGGCTGAAGATAACCTAGCAGAGCGTACACCACTGCTGCTGTCCCAACATACCGTAAGAATTTACGCACTAGTACCCTTGCCCTAATCGCCTGCACTGAAGTTCAAACACCCGTTTGCGTGCTGTGGAAATCTATAGATTTCGGTTACGCATCAGGCCTCCGTGTCACGCGTACAGGCGTGTGAATTGACAGGGTGTGGGCACGGAGGGCGGGTCGGTGGGGAAGGTGCGGTAGCTAACGTGTGTGGATCGTAGGAGCACTTGTCTCCAGGACTCATGTCAAGCCTCTTCAGCGCACAGCGCGGTGAGCGTCGCTAAGGTGTACCCCGTGCCGCAGGGCCTCCAAGGCACCTTAGACAGTCGCGCCCCTCTCTCCGCCCCCCCTATAGAGATCGCAGTGTGCTCCAAGTGGAGCTATGTTGCACTTGGGCATCCATTTTCAATCCGTGCACGTTTCGTATCTGGAGGGCGTATAGGCGTGGCTAAGCGACTTCATCGGGAATGGACGGCGGTTTTAGTGCCGAACATTCACCCGCGGCGCGTTCTGATCGTGGCGTTGTTACGCTATCGTCATGCCGCAGCTACTCATGCCGCAGCTACTCATGTCGCAGATCGGGCGGTGCGAAAGGGATAGCTTGTGCTGTGTCGTTGTTGAAGGTGCACGTGATCCAGGCTTGGGAAACTTGATACTTGGTAGTGTGGCCGTCCCTCTCCACCAGTCATGGGTGGTTCTGAAGTTGCTGACTCCATGCGTGTGGTCCCGTGTGTGTGCAGTGGCAGGCTGTGCGGTGACGCCCACTCCGCCACCTGGTAAACGCCCGCGCACGCATCACTCCTTGCCCTCCAGGTATGTCGCGCCTTCTCTGCGCGTGCCCGCTTGTCCATCCGTTCCTGGAGCGTTTTGTGCTTCCATGTATAACGCGCTTTTTCTTTCATGCACCCAGCCTTTCTCGAATTTCCTGCCGCTGCCGCTGCTCCCCTTTCCTGTGCTCGCCCGTTGGCAGCTCGTCGGCGCCGCGCTCGCTGCTGCAGCTGCCGTCACAGCGCGCGAGCGTCCATACAAGCACACCCAAGCTCCCCTCCACCACTCCATCTCATGTCGTCACAAGAAAAACCGCCAGCAGCAGCGGCAGCAACGCGAGCATGAGCAGCAGGCGGGCAGCAGGGTGCGTAGTGTGCTCAGGGGGCGACTCATGGCAGCGCACGGGCCAACCATGCCGGACAGCGCCACCAACACCCACAACGGCCAGACGGCTAGGCGGCAAGCTGACGGCCGGGAACTTGTCAGCGCAGCGGGTGCGGCAAGAGCAGGCGCAGCGGGGGTGTGGGTGCGTGGCCGCCGTGTCCATGGCGAGTCCGCCCGGGCCCGTCGCAGAGCCCGGGCCCGGCGTCAGCGACAGCGGCGGTGGCGCGGGCGAGCAGGCGGGCACGGGGGAGGAGCGCGTGGGCGTGTTGCTGCTGAACCTGGGCGGGCCCGACACGCTTGACGACGTGCAGCCCTTCCTCTTCAACCTCTTCGCCGACCCGGTCAGTCGCCCCGCCCCGCCCCGCCCCGCCGCGCACCGCCCTTGCATGCCCCTCGCACATACCTGGGTTGCTGCCGCGTGCCCCCGTCGCAACCACGGGGGGACTGTCGCCCACTCGCTCGCGAGTTTTGGGCGACTCGCCAACGAAAGTCGGGGTGGCAACTCGCGTTGCTTTGCGTGGCACAAGAACCGCCCGCCCTTGTGGTTTCTCGAGCACGCACGCACTTGTCGCCGTACCAAACGCCACGTCGCCTCGTCACCGTGCCCCCGGTCTCGGCCCACCCGCCGCGCCCTTCCCGCGAGGGCGAGCGCCGCTCGTCTCCCTCGCCCTCACCTCATCGCCAGCCCCCTCCGCCTCGCCCCCCCGTATCCCGTGTTCCCCTCCTCCCCGCTCCCGCCCCCGCCGTGCGCGCAGGACATTATCCGGCTTCCGCGCGCGCTGCGGTTCCTGCAGCGCCCCATCGCGCAGTTCATCTCGACGATGCGCGCGCCCAAGAGCCAGGAGGGCTACGCCGCCATCGGCGGGGGCTCGCCGCTGCGCCGCATCACCATGGACCAGGTGGGGGGGACGGGGAACACATGGGACATGCGGCCATATGGGGTATGGGGCTAGAACAATGATGGGAAAAGACTGCTCAAGTGCCAGGGGAATCACGATGTCACACTAACTAGTGTTCCTACAATCCATAAACTCTCTCTCCTCTCTCCCCCATCTCTACCTTATCCCTCCCCTCCTTTCCCCTCCATTCTCTCCCGCTCTCGCTCACTCGCGCTCTCCCTGTATTGGTGAATGAGTGTCGTACCATATGTTTACATCCACCTACCCATCACCGCATCCCCCTCCTTCCGCGGATGCTGCCACGCCTTGTTGCGCCCACCGCCGGGCATGGCACGGCGTGAGGAGCTGCCACCCGCAAAGCACCAACGTTTCTTCATGCCCCTCCCCTCTGCCCACCCCCCCCTTTCCCCCTTCCGTCCCCCTCTCTCGTGCGCGCGGGCAGGCGGAGGAGCTGGGGAAGGCGTTGCGGAAGAAGGAGGTAGCGGCGAAGGTGTACGTGGGCATGCGCTACTGGCACCCCTTCACCGAAGAGGCCATCTACCAGGTCCCGCCCCCACTCTGCCCCTCTCTCCCCTCCCCGCTCCTATCGCCATCCATGCGCGCTGCTTCCCACCCCTCACCTTTGCCGCGCCTCACTCCGCCACTCGCTCAAGCTGGCCTGCGCTTGCCCCTGTGTCCCCCGTGTGCGGTGGGAGCAGATAAAGCAGGACCGCATAACGCGGCTGGTGGTGCTGCCGCTGTACCCGCAGTTCTCCATCACCACCAGCGGCTCCTCGCTGCGCCTGCTCGAACGCATTTTCAGGTACGCACCCACCCAACCCGCCCCCTGCAAGCGCTGCTGCCTCGCCGCCTCGTGCACCGCCACCGCTGATGGCTTGTGCCGGTAACTGCCGCGGGCCTCCGTCACCCTTGCTCGCCTTCGCCACCCCTCTTGTGCCCTTCCACCTTCGCACTCCCTCCCGCATCCCCGCGCCTACCCGCTCACCTGTTGACTGGCTGTGTGGTTGCGGCGTGTGTGGGGGGCGGAGTGTGGTGGGGTGTGTGGCAGGGAGGACGAGTACCTGGTGACGATGCAGCACACCGTCATCCCCTCGTGGTACCAGCGCCGCGGCTACGTTGAGGCCATGGCCACGCTCATCCAGAAGGAGCTGCTCGCCTTCTCGCGCCCAGAAATTGTACCCTCTCGCGCCACACACCCCTGCCTTCCCACCGCTCTCTGCCTTGCCTCCTCATCGTGTTTCTGCCTACCGCACCTGCTTGCTGTACCCTCTTTCCTGCCCACACCCCCCCCCCCCCCCCCACCCCCATCTTGTACCTGCTTGCCCATACCCTCTCTCTCTATCACGCACACGCCCATGCGCACGCGCACTGACTGTCTTGCATGTGTTGCGGTGCGGTGGGGCGCGGGCGTGGGGGGCGTGCAGGTGAACATCTTTTTCAGTGCGCACGGGGTGCCGGTGGCGTACGTGGAGGAGGCGGGCGACCCGTACAAGGCGGAGATGGAGGAGTGCGTGGGGCTCGTCATGGACGAGCTGCGCCGCCGCGGCGTCTACAACAACTACACCCTCGCCTACCAGGCACGCCCCGCCCCCACGCCCACTCCCACTCCCACTCCCACTCCCACTCCCACTCCCACTCCCACTCCCACTCCCATGCATGTACGCGCTCCTTCCTGCTCTTCTTCTCCCCTGCTGGCTGTGAGCAGGGGCGCGCGTGGTGGGGCGTGGCGGCAGGCATGCACGGCAGTGCCGCCCGCACCGTGCACATCTCTGCTCTTTTTGCACCCACATGCTCGTCTTCACTTGAGCCCGCCCACACACCACGTGCACCAAAGTGCAAGCAGCATGCGTGTGTGGCGGCGCCATGTGAAGGCCAGCATGGTCCAGAGGCCGCAGCACAGCCACGTGCATTCATGTGCATGCTGCCGCCATCCATCACCTCACCCGCGCGCTCACACCACATGTGTGCGTGTTGTCCTCTCCCCTGTGTGTGTGTGTGTGTGGGGCGATGCGATGCGATGGCATGTTGGGCATCAGAGTCGCGTGGGGCCAGTGGAGTGGTTGAAGCCGTACACGGACGAGAGCATAGAGACACTGGGCAAGGCGGGCGTCAAGAGCCTGCTCGCCGTCCCCATCAGGTATACACCCCCCGCCCCCGCCTACCCGCTCGCTACCTGCTGCTGCTTGCTTGCTGCTGCTATCAACATGTAGTTGCCCACCCTGTCTTGACACTCCTCCCCTCCCCTCTGTGCTGCATCATAACCCCCGCCCCTCCTCTCATCTTTCTCCCCCTCCCCCCCAACCCCTTGTCTCTCCCTGTGTTTGACCATGCCATGCGTGGGGTGCGGGTGCGGGGGCCATGGTGGGCAGCTTTGTGAGCGAGCACATAGAGACGTTGGAGGAGATCGACATGGAGTACCGCGAGCTGGCGCTGGCGTCGGGCGTGGAGGAGTGGGGGCGCGTGCCCGCGCTGGGGTGCGAGCCGTCCTTCATTGAGGACCTGGCAGACGCCGTGCTCGAGGCGCTGCCCTACGTCGGTGCCATGGCCGCCTCCTCCATCGAAGCCCGCCAGGTATCGCCTCTCTCCTCCTCCCTCTCCCTCTCCCTCTCCTCCCTCTCCCTCTCCCTCTCCCTCTCCCTCTCCTCCTCCCTCTCCCTCTCCCTTTCCCTCTCCTCCTCCCTCTCCCTCTCCCTCACCTTCTCCCTCTTCTCCTTCTCCCTCCCCTTCTCCCTCTCCCTCTCCTGCCTGCCTGCCCCCCCCACACACACATGCATGGGAGGGGCGGTGGAGGGACAGGGTGCGGTGGTTGGGGCTGGTGGGCAGCGCATGCCAGTGCACGCTGCGCCCTCTGTGCCGCTGTTTCTTGTGCTTTCCCTGCGCCCCACGCATGTGCTTGCTGGCGTGCACGGCTGTGAAGCATGACGATGAGCCGTGGTGTGTGTGCGAGTGTGCAGGCGCTGGTGCCGCTGGGCAGTGTGGAGGAGCTGCTGGCCACGTACGACATCGAGCGGAGAGAGCTGCCGGCGCCCGTGGCCATGTGGGAGTGGGGGTGGACCAAGAGTGCTGAGACGTGGAACGGGCGTGCCGCCATGCTGGCCGTGCTGGGGCTGCTGCTGCTGGAGGTCAGCACGGGCCGTGGCATTCTGCACCAACTCGGCATCCTGCCCCCCCTCCTATGACCACCCACGCCACGCCCACACACTGGGGGATTGGGTTAGGGGGGGGGAGGGGTGGTGTTGGCATGCACGCAGGCTTGCTACCTTGAAAGAGGGATGGTGTGGTGTGGTGTGGTGGAGTGAGGTTGGGCGGGCGGACAGGCTTCCATGGTGGCGCATTCGCTGCCAACATGTGCCGTTGCTGCCAGCACTGCACGCGGGGCGCATGTGCTGAAAGTGCTTGCATCAGGGGGTCAAGCCTTGGGGTGCAGCGAGGGCCCTGCATTGTATAAGTCGTTACTGCCCCTCTAGTTCTGCTGTGCACACCATGGTACCTGTACTGTCCATACCATACTCAAATGTTCTCGGAAATGTAATTTCCAACTTCACTGAAGCTCACCAACAGCATGACTACTGTATGATATCCGCCACTGTACAGTAATGTGCACAAACAATTTGCAAGGCGACGGTTTGGTTGCATGTTTGTGGTGCTTGCGCGCTGCCCTCAGCATATTTCGTGCCTCGGTCCACGTCAATGATTCGCCCTCGATCGTCCCGTCGCGCCACTGCCATCGCCCACTCACCGCGCGCTGCTGCGCGCCGCACCCCGCTGCTCCGCGTGCTGCTCGTCGCCGCGCTGCTGCTGCTGCCGCTCCTCGTTTTGTGTCGCCTCCGCTGGTCTGCCTTCCAGCCCCCTCACCAGTCCTCCGCCTTTCCCGCTGGAGATTCTCCCCCCGGCGCATCATCTGCGCGCGCGCTCTCCCGCCCATGGCGCGCGCGGCGCGGCAGCGGGGCCTTGGAGGACGAGCTTTCGAAGGCGGCCGCGGCGCAAGGGGCGCTGGGGGACGCCGCGGCGCAGACGGACGGGGAAACGCAAGCCAGTGAGGCGCAAACGCAGGAGGGGCGGAAATTGGAGAGCGGAGGACATGAAGGGAGCAGCGGGGCAGGGGATGTGGGGCGTGGAAAAGAAGGTGAAGGCAGTGCGGCAGCGGAAGGCGCGGAGGGTGACGCGGGGAGCGGCGGAGTGACGGTGATCCGACACTTTTCGTTGCATAAGGAGAACCGCACGCTGCCGTGGGAGGAAGACTTCTGGCGGGTCGCGAGGAAGCCTAAGACGGGGATGAAAGGGGAAGGTGGCACTAGCGCAGGTGGGAGAGGTGAAGATGAAGAGGAGGAAGAGGAGGAATGGGAGATACTGTATGATGTGAGTACCATCGGAGGGGGTCATGGCATGGCATGGCACGGCATGGCATGGCATGGCATGGCACGGCATGGCATGGCATGGCATGGCACGGCATGGCATGGCATGGCACGGCATGGCATGGCACGGCATGGCACGGCATGGCACGGCATGGCACGGCACGGCATGGCACGGCATGGCACGGCATGGCACGGCATGGCATGGCATGCATGCATGTGCAAGAGAAGAGGGCTGCATGTGCTGTGCCATACCTCGTGTGTGCCGCATGAACACATTGCCACTGCCATGAGCACCTTGTGATCCCCCCCCCTCTCATCACCCACCTGCTGCGCGCCCCTGTGCGTGTGCATGTGAGTGCGCGCCCCTGTGCGTGTGCATGTGAGTGCGCGCCCCTGTGCGTGTGCATGTGAGTGCGTGCTGCAGGCGTGGACGGCAGCGTACGGGCTGGAGCACCGCTGGAGCGCCCCCACTTCCGTGTCCCTGCCACCCGCCGTCGCTGCTGACGTTGCCGCCCGCCGCACGAGGAGGAGGACGCGGGGAAGAGGCGCACGAGCGTGGGGACGAGCGGGGCACGGGGTGGGGGAGCGCGAGCAGGAGGGCGAGGAGAGGGGGGATGCAGGCGGTGGCAGTGGCGGTGTGCCCCCGGCACCGCACCTGGTGGCGTGTGAGGCGGCAGCAGCGCAGCACCGCCTGCTGGAGCAGCGCCTGCCTGATGGCTCGCCCCCGCCCTGGGCCGCCCCTGCTGCCGCCGCCACCGCCGCCGCTGCTGCTGAGGCTGCTGACCCCAAGGGCCTCCACCAGGGGCTGAGCACGGCACGCCGTGACGCCGGGCAAGTGGGGCGCACGCGACAGGAGCGGTGGACAACTGTTCCTCAGACGCCGTGGGTGAGATGACCAGGGGGACCAAGGTGCAACGCAGCATGCTGCTTCATACAATGTGTTGGCGCGCACAAGCACTGCAGCTGCATGCATGGGTGCAGCACTGTTGCACGGGTGTGCCCCTCGTCACCTCATCAGCGATGCCTCATCACCCCCCACAAGCACCGCGTGTGCACTGCCGTGGAGCATCACCTCGCACCCTCCCCTCGCCACAACCCCTTGCCCTCCTCCTCTCTCCACCACGCCACCCCACCCACGTGCGGGCCGCTGAGCGTGCAGGTGCAGGGCAGCGATGCGGACAACCTGCCGTTCACGCGTGTGGTGCAGGCGGCGCTGTGGCTGCACCAGTTCCCGCGGGACTGCTATGACCCTAGTCACCGCTTCCTGTTGTACGGGTGGCCGGGCGAGGGCGACCACGGGCTGGGGTCCGACGTGCACGTGCTGTCCGTCGCCATGGGCGTGGCGCTCGCCACGGGCCGCATCCTCGTGCCGCACCGCAACTTCTTCCGCGCCCACCACGACGCCTGCTCCGGTGCCCTGCCCCCCCCACCCCGCACCCCTCCCTGCTCTCTCAGCTATGCTCACCGAGATTCCTTCGCCACTCCTCTCTGCGCCTCCTCGCTCTCCCCCACTTGTGCCTCACCTTCTGTGTGCGAAGCGTTGAGCATGTGGGACGTGTCACCTCTACCAATGATCCCGTGAGCGATCCTGTAAATACTGTGGATGCAATAAGCGGGATGTCAGTGTGGTGTAGGATCGGTTTTGCACGGTGGATCGTGCAAGATTGGCAGAGGTGACACGTCGTTAGGCGGCCTGCACTGTCTTGTGTGTGTGCCCACACATGTGCGCCCGTGCCGTGCCCCCTGTTACTGCGGTGCACAGCAGGCGAGGTAGAGGGGTCGCTGGCGTGCTACTTCGCACCGCTCACCCACGCGCACTGTGACGCGGCCGTCGCGGCGCTGGTGGCGGCGCAGCCAGAGCTGGTGGTGCCACCGGGCATGGAGGGCGAGGGCGTGGAGGCGTGGGTGGCGGCCATGGTGGTGGACTGCCACGAGGTCATGCACGCCCTGCTGCTGCAGCTGCGCGGCCCCCAGCCCGTCGTCATGCTGCCTCTCTGCGCTCCCTCCCACCTGCTGCATGCCGTGCCGGGGTGAGCCACACAGATCCTGCCGCATGCCACCAGCACATTCACGGCTCACCAAAGCACTGGGCTGACCGCTCCATTGCTGCTCCTTGTGTGGGCGTGTGTGTGTGGCAGGTGGTGGGGCAGGCCATGGGAGGCAGTGGCGCGCTCAGAGGAGGTGGTGGGCGACAGCACCCTGGCGGGGCCACGCCAGTGGAACCGGGTGAGACGCGTGCAGGGGGCACGGGGTACCCACTGCTGCATGCATGAGTGCACATGGGGAGTGTCACACGCCACACACGCACCATCGCCATGTCACTCATCATTGCTCGCACTGCCCCACGCAACCTGCTGCATGCACTGCTGTTCCGTGCCGAGCCACGCTCACCGTGCCCATTGGGTGCTGTGCGTGTGGGGCGCCTCGCCTCCTGTGAGCAGGTGAGCTGGTGGCGCGCTCAGACCACGCGCTTTGCCATGCGCTGGCCCTCGCCCTACCTCTGCCACGTCACCAACATTGCACGCCATGCTGCCTTTGGCCCACTCACAGCGCGACAGGTGGTCGCAGGAGAGGCGGCGAAGCGGGCGGCAGAGCGCATGATGGCAGCAGCCAACCGCAGTCAGTTTGAGCGGCTCATGGCCGGCATCTCGTGGCACTCTCTGCCCTTCTCAGGGGGCATTTGGGACGTCAGCAACACACATGCTGCTGCTGCTGCTGCTGCTGCTGCTGCTGCTGCTGGTGGCAGCAGCGGTGCAGGTGCTGCGACAGTGGCATTTGAGTCCAGTGCGTCGTCGTCCCTGGTGTACGCCCCGCCCTACGTGCCGCGCCCGCTGATGAGCATGCATGTGCGGGCGGGTGACAAGGCATCGGAGATGGAGGTGTTTCCCATGGCGGCGTACATGCTGCTGGCAGCACGTGTGCGCATCAAGGACCCCTCGCTGCACCACGTCTGGCTCAGCACCGAGATGCAGGTGTGTGCCCTCTGCTCTGCCACCGCCTCCTGCCCTGCCAACGCCGCCAAATGTGCAAGGTGGAGGGGGTTAACCGTTATTCTCTGCCGTGTCCTGCACACCTTGCTGCACGTCTTACTGCACGCCTTACTGCACGCACTCTCCCTATGGCCTTGCTGCTCTATCCCACCTCCTCCTCCACTGCTCATGCATGCAACGCCTCTCGCCTGGCAATTATCTGCCCCTTAAGTCGTCTCTCTCCCTCCCGCACGCCTGACATCACGCCATGCATGGTAACATGTGCTTGCCATCGCCCCACCCCTCACGGCCCTCCCTGTGCGTGCGCCGTGCCGCTGTGCCCCGCGCAGGCAGTGGTGGACGAGGCGGGGCGCTTCCCCGGGTGGACGTTCCACCACACGCGCAACCCGCGCGTGGGCGGGGACAGCACGGGCATGGTGGCGTTTGAGAGTGCGCTGGGGCACGAGCTGGCGGGCGCGGTGGCGCTGGCGAACCTGCAGGTGGCGGCGCAGGCGGACTACTACGTGGGCGTGCTGGGGTCGAACTGGAACCGCCTCATCAATGAGCTCAGGGTCACGGGCGGGCGCCTCAAGGCCGGCTACCTCTCCGTCAACTACGACGAGCTCTAGCAGGGGGGGGAGGGGGGGGCGCCTGCCACATGCTGCGTGCTGCCATGCTGGGTGTGTGCACTCGAGCACGAGGGAGATGTGTACACAAAGATAGTTGACCTGCGCTCATGCCTGCCCACTGTCTTTCCCTCTTGCCTTGTGTCGTGCCATGGTGCAGTTGATGTGCTTTGTAAGTCAATCATAACAAGATGGCTCTTGAAAGACAGCGGCACCGCACTCTTGTGCAACATAAGTAGCCCATGTAACACAGGAAAGATCTAGGTGTGGAAACAACCAAGCACGCGTAAGAAGAACCTGACTCGTTGCTCATGCGAATATGCAGGATAGAGTGCAGGCAGCGGCAGCAGCGGAGGGCTGGTGCTGATGGAAGGTGGTATGGTGTAGCGGGAGGGCAGTCAGGTAGCAGGCGTGGGTGCGTGTGCAGCAATGCAGGCGACGGTGCCTCGGGAACCAGGCAGTGCGGTGAGAGTGCACCCCGCCATGCTGTACGCTCCCCAAGATGCTGCCTGCTGGGGGCCCACGCCAGTGACCACAGGAGCAAGAGGGGTGTGCATGGTGGAGCATCCAAACAAAGGGGTTACTCATGCCTGCACACGTGTGTCTCTCTGCGAGCATGGCCAAAACACACGGGGGGGCGTGCTTGCGTGTATGTGTGCAAGTGTGCATGTACAGTCGGCGCACAGAGAGGGTCAGGTGGAATGAGGGAGAGCACGGGGTGCAGGCGTGTGGCAACAGGAGAAGCAGGTGCACAATGGCACAGGAAAGAGGTGAGCAGTGGCAGGGGTTTGAGAGGGGTGGTGAGGCAGAGGTGCGGAGGCTTACGGAGAGGTAGAGGCGCATGCGGTCCAGCAGTGCCCGCACACCACGCGTGCGCGGCGGGTAGGCCCGCTGCCCCACGTGCTGCCACACACGCACGACGCACAGTCACATGTGGTGCTAGACAAGGAAGCAGTCGAGCAGAGCAGCGGTGGATACAAGTGGCAAGGGTGCACATGCGAGCAGTGGTAGGGGTGTCACCTGCAGCAGCAGCGAGAGCACATGCATGCGCGTGTCATGGGACCAGTGCGGTGCCAGCAGCTCCACCACGCTGATGTGCACCGCCCCGCCCTGCCATGCCACACATGAATCACACCACCGCCATGCCTCCCATGCAGCACGCAGCACAGGGCAAGCAACAGGACTGCACTTATTGGCACGGGCGTGGGGGCAGGGTGGCGGGCAGCCTGGCATGAGCGAGGCAGACAACACGGATGCACCCACTTGGAGCACACCCAAAGGGACTGACAGAGGCCAATTGAGAGGCACTGACGGAGGTGGGGAGCAGGGCTTGAGCAGCGAGGCGGCGTGCTGCTGTGAGGCGGTGAGAGCGCAGGGCAGCCGCCACCGCACTCGTGCTCTGCGCTGCCAAGTGCACTGCACTGCACGCACACGCACGCGAGGGGTGGAGGGTGACGGGCGGAAAAGAGTGGATACTTGGGGGGTAAGGCGATCGCCGTCCTATCACTGCTGTGCCACTCCCATGCTCCCCTCATCATGGTGCTTACCTCCCCTCACAGATAAACAACAGGCAAAACAAATCGTTCCCAGTGTCCATGTTGCCCTCACATCCATCCCCCTTGACCCTCTCCCACCCACACACACGTGGCGTGGTGTGGAGGCAGGGCAGCGAGGGCGTGGCGAATGCGGTTGCGCAGGAAGAGCGAGGAGGCGTTGGAGGGGTCGTCGATCCACGGGTGCGCGAGGGACTCACACAACTGCACCAGGTGCTCCTTGCCCACCCCCAGCAACGGCCGCACCACCACCACCGCCTCGCTGCCTCCCTGCCCGCTGCCCCCGCTGCTGCTGCCATGCACACACTCAAAATGACTGTCAGTGCTCCTGCCGTTGCTACGACTGCTGCCAGATGTGCCGGGGCGTATGCTGCCGTTGCCATGCGCATGCAAAGGTGCGAAGCAGGGCAGCAGAGGAGGGGGAGAGGGGGGGAGCGGAGAGAGCAGTGGCATGCATGCAAGGCCGTCGACGCCGCTGCAGCGGGCGAGGCGCAGCAGCAGCAGCTCTGCCTGGTCGTTGGCATGGTGTGCCGTCATGAGCACGGGTAGGTGGCGCTTCACACACTCGCCGTGCAGCAGCGCATACCTGCTGGCACGCCGCACACACCAAATGTCACACCGGCTGCTGTCAGTGAGTGAGGATTGGAGAAGATAGCAGCAAAGCAGATGCAAGCACGGTAGCAGCAGGCCCAGCAGCAAGGAAAGGCAGCGGTCAAGGGAGAAGCGGCATGCAGCAAGGGGTGCGCAGGCAGGGCAGAGAGGGCGAGAGGTCACCTCTGTGCTCTGGCGTCCTGCTGCAGGCGTGAGGGAGGGGGCGGGCCGTGCGGCCAGCGGCACGTGAGCAGCACTGCCTGCAGCCCTGCTCACACGGGATGGCACGCACGTGCACGGTGCAGCGCGCTGACATGCCGTTGCACACTGTGAGGGCTCACGGCAGGTGCACACGCTTGCTGCGCTTGCATGCACATATGCATGTATGCATGCACGGATGGATGGGTGGATGGATGGATGGATGGATGGATGGATGGATGGATGGATGGATGGATGGATGGATGGATGGATGGATGGATGGATGGATGGATGGATGGATGGATGGATGGATGGATGGATGGATGGATGGATGGATGGATGGATGGATGGATGGATGGATGGATGGATGGATGGATGGGTGGGTGGGTGGGTGGGTGGGTGGGTGGGTGGGTGGGTGGGTGGGTGGGTGGGTAGGTGGGTGGGTGGGTGGGTGGGTGGGTGGGGTGGGTGGATGTCGGAATGATGTGAGATGGGGGGGAACAAGAATGAAGAGCGCATCATCCCATGGCATGCACCACAGCATGTGGTGTGTGGCATGGCAGCGCACCTAGGTGGTGCAGGCACGCCAGGGTGCGCGTGGCTTCACGTGCACTGCCGGGCCTGAGAGCGTGGTCCACCACCATCGCCACCATGCGCACCCCCCCTCCTCCCCCGTCTTCCCCCTCCCCCTGCTGTGCGCGCTGCATGCGCGCGGCAGTGAGCGCGAGTGCCATGCTGTCCACTCCGCCCGACACCGCCACGCCCACACCTGCCTGCCGGCCGCAGGGGACAGCCAGGGGGGGGAACAGGGCGAGGGCAGGGGGAGAGGGAGGGCAGGGGAAGGGCAGGGGGATAAGTCGGCGAGGATGTGGTGGGAAGGCATGAGAGGGGTGGAGCGACAAGGTGCGGTGTGGTATCGAGAGGCGGGCGGGGCGGTGCAGCGCGAGCCGTACCCGGGTACATGCGCGCATCGCCACGCTCGCGTGGCGGGAAGCCTGGCGGAAGGCGGTGGTGCGGGGGGGGCGCAGGCCACAGCCCCACGCGTTGCAGCACGTGCTGCAGCCCTCCCTCCCGCAGCACATGTGGTACAGCGACGCGCGTGTATCGCGGGGAGCGGAGCGCGCACGGCTGCACGCCATGCGCGGAGGAGCACGGGGGAAAGTGTTGCTGGCCGTGGCCCATAGAGCTGCGCTCCTCACACCCCCCTTGCCCTCTACCCGCGTCTACCGCCGCCCCTCCTCCACTTGCGACGACTCCCCGGCCCTGTGGTAAATCCTGCCGCTTCCCTCGGCCCTCCTCCTCGTCCACCCGTCCTCGTGTCCGCGCGTTCCCGACGCCCCCCTCCGCCCGCACCTCGCCGTTCATCGCGCTGGACGCGCGCCGCCAGCAGCTCGCCCAGTCGCACGGCGCGACGTGCGCGGTTCCTTGCAGCGCAGGGAGCACGGCCCGAGACATCAGCAGCGGCTGCCAGCGAGGCAGCGGCCATCGCGCCGACAGCTGGCGGGACATCGTCACAAAATTCCTGGCCCCCAAAACATGCCCACAATCGTAGCATACTTTCAGGTATGCTACGTGAGCTGGGTGTGAACTAGTTCCCATCATGCAGAGAGCTATGCTTCGAAGGTTGGGTTTCCGATACGACAAAGGGAGCCATCCTCGGCAAGAAAGAAACAGCATGTGGCAGGATATTGACAAACTCGCGTTACTGTAAAGTTCGCTTTCGATGGAATACTTACGACTTTTTTCGTTCTTTTGGGCTTTTCCTCACCTAGGCTCGTGGCACCAGCATCTAGGCTCGGTACTGAACCAAATCGGACATGCCAAACCTAAGGCAGGCCGGGGCTGGTGTACAGTGACATCACAACGCGTGCTCGATATTTTTCGCCGACAAGATTGCCATTTCTCGGGTGCAGCCTGCTGCGACGTCAATGACACGACCCTCTGTGTCAGGTGCAACTGGTCACAAAGAAACAAAGAAACAAAGCTCAGGGTGGATCACAACGTCACCACAAACTCTGAGCACAAGCAACAATGGCCACAAGGCCAGTCCAAGCAATAACAGAGATATATAGAAAGGGTACAAGCAAAGCAAACAGTGAACTCAAGACTAAGTAAGCCGAAAACCAGTGTCAACAAGGCCTAACTGCACACAACACCTGTGGTGGTCACAAGGCGGAAGCGCCTTGGTGAAGATGTCTGCAGTGTTGGCCTCAGACTCCACAAACTCGAAGCGAGCCTGTCCACGCCTCTGCAACTCTCGCAGAAGGAAGTACGTGAGGTTAATGTGCTTCACTCTGCTCTGTTACCATGTCAAGATAGTAAGGACAGTGAGAAGCCATAGCTAGGGTTGACCTAGCTAGGCAAGTAAGAAATGAACAAAGGAGGGGTTACACTAGCAAGAATGGGGATACAAATAGCAAACCCTAGAAGGGTTGTACTCGCTATAGAGCACCCCACTACAGGCTAGAGCATAATATTCTGACACACCCCCATAGCCAAAGTGGGGTGTAATCAGCAGAGCAAGCAAAGCAGTACAAGCTCAGGGTGGATCACAATGTCACCACACATTCTGAGCACAAGTTCAAGAAGCAATAGTTTAAAGTTCACAATTATGAGCAAAGCTAGAGGTAGTCACAGAGGGCAAGTGAGGAGGAGGAGGGCTGGCGAGGGGAGAGAGGAGTGGAGGCGACGACTGAAGCTGCAGACACACGGGCAACAGACGGCTCTGGTGCAGCTCTAGTGGCTACCGGGAGCAAGGGCCCCGGAATACAGGAGTAACAGGCTCTGCGTCTGATCAGCAGCGACAGGAGCAACGGACCCACGGGCGACAGGTGCAACCGGCTCTCTGAGCTACCGGTGGCTATCAGAACCCCGGAATACAGGCGCTGCAGACGACACGACGGCTGCCTCCACCCAACCTCCTCCAACTGTCCCACACCCCCCAACACACACCCCCTGCTGCAACCCCTAACTCCACTCCCACGTCACCCCCCTAGCACCACTCCTTCGGCTCCCCACACACCCACCCCCCTCAGCGGCAGCTGCAGCAGTGGGAGACGGAGGAGGAGGAGGAGCAGGGGACGGCGCACACTCTTGCACCCCCATAACCGCCACCCCCACACTCGCCACCCCCAAACCCTAAAACGGGTGGCACGGGGCAGGAGCGCGGGGGACGGCGCGGGGGACGGCGCGCGGCCCTGGGGCAGGCTGCCCGGGCCGCGCGCGGGCCTGGCGCAGGCCGTACGGGCCGCGCGCGGGCTGTACGGGCCGCGCGCGGGCCTGGCGCAGCCCGTACGGGCCGCGCGCGGGCCTGGCGCAGCCCGTACGGGCCGCGCGCGGGCCTGGCGCAGGTCGCGCGGGCCGCGTCGGGCGACGGGGGGCGACGCGCAGGTCCGCGGGCTCCGTGACGGGCGACGGGGGGCGCTTCGACGGGCGACGGGGCGGTCGACGGGAGGGGGGGAAGCGCGGGTCCCCGGGGTGACGCACGAGGGAGGAAACCGCCGCGCGCCTCGGGGCCACGGCGGGCAGAAAACCGCCGCGCGCCCCGAGCGCGCGGCGGGAAGAAAAAACGAACATCGCGCGCCACGGGACGCGCGACACACAGGAAGGCAGCGGAAGCAGGCGGGCCCACAGGCCAGGAGCGTAACCGCTCTGATAGCATGTCAAGATAGTAAGGACAGTGAGAAGCCATAGCTAGGGTTGACCTAGCTAGGCAAGTAAGAAATGAACAAAGGAGGGGTTACACTAGCAAGAATGGGGATACAAATAGCAAACCCTAGAAGGGTTGTACTCGCTATAGAGCACCCCACTACAGGCTAGAGCATAATATTATGACACTCCAGTCGCGGCTCTCGACAAAGGAGAATGGATGCCTTGTTGTCAGTGAACAAGGTCGGTGCAGAGCTCGGCCGCTCACCCAGGTCGGCGAGCAAGAACGTCAACCAACGCAGCTCCTGTGCCGCCATGGCACCAGCGTAGATCTCAGCCTCAGCTGTAGAGGTCGAGACCGAAGAGGAGCGCGTGGACCGCCAGGAAACAGCTCCAGAACCCAGGCTGAAACAGTACCCCTGAGTAGACCTGTGAGTCTCAGCGTCGTCAGCGTAAGAAGAGTCACAGTGACCAGTAAGTACAACAGACTGCTGCCCTCCAAGTACTAGCCCCACGCCTGATGTCGTCGCTAGGTACTTCGCCACCCTCACAGCTGCTGTCCAGTGAACAGGACGGTGTCTCCCTGGCGCAACAAAGCGCGCAAGGATGCTGAGAGGGAAAGCGAGGTCCGGGCGAGTACAAGTCATCAGGTACATGAGGCAACCCACAAGCTCTGCGTAGGGACCACTAGGCTCAAACGGCTCGTCAGGAAAGGGGCCAGTGAGTCTGTGGTCAACAGCAAGAGGTGTGCGCTGTACTGTGGAGTGCTGAAGCTCGAACCGCTGAAGGACCTGCTGCACCATGTGTGACTGTGAGAGTGTAATGGTGCGAGCAGCTCTGTCCCTGGTGATCTGCAGCCCAAGGTAATGGCGCAGCTCACCAAGGTCAGTGCACGTGTGTGTTTTCTGCAGTTCGGACTTCACGTCTGCCAAAGCAACCCTGTCAGCAGTGGCGAAAACTAGGTCGTCGACGTAAACCAGAACGAAGAACGGTGTGGAGCCACGGTTAACGAACAGCGACGGGTCGGCAGAAGACGGCTGGAACCCAAGGTCAGAGAGGGTAGAGCGAAGAGTGTCGTGCCACTCACGAGCGGCATGGCGAAGACCGTAGACAGGTCGCCTCAGCCTCCACTGGGTCCCAGGAGGGAAAGTGCCAATGAAGGCAGAGGGACGACGCAGCCAGACCTCCTCGTGTAGGCTGCCCTGAAGAAAAGCAGTGGAGAAGTCGAGAGAGTGTAACTCGTAGTCTCTCTGTGCTGCTACGTGCAGTAACACCCGAAGAGTGGTCATCTTCGGGGTCGGCGCGAAGGTCTGAAAAAAGTCAACTCCCTCGCGCTGACTGAAACCTCTAGCAACGTAGCGCGCCTTGAAGACCGGAGGAGATCCCGGTGGCCGCTTCACCCTGTAGATCCACATGCCGTCGACTACGTTCGTCCCAGGGGGAGGAACCTCATCGACGTAGGTGCCTGTGGATCTGTAGGAGGCCATCTCTGCGTCTGTGGCAGCTCTCCACTGAGAGGCCCAAGGCCCTGACACTGCCTCAGCGTAAGTGCGAGGAGTCGGAATGTCAAGGGCGTCGGGGTCACCCTCAGGGGTGAGGAGCATGGCACAGAGATGAGGGGAAGCGGCTGCCAGGAACTCTAGCTCAAACTGCCTAGGATGTCACAGCCAAGGGCAGACACACCCCCGACGGCCAGAGGACTGGTAGGAGGAGCAGCCACAAGAGTGGTGGCGTAGTCAAGGCGGCGAGTAGAGGCAAACTCAGTGACCGCGGCAGTAAGAGCGGAGACAGAGGACAAAGAGGCACGAGGGTGGGTAACAAGAGAGGCGAGAACACGAGAGAGAACAGGACGGTACGTGCGGTAGTAGTCAGTGACAGGGGTAGAGAGAGAAGCTGTGAGGGCCGACTCAGGAGGAGAAGGAAGCACAGGAGGAGCCGAACGAGACGGACTAGAACGTAACAAGACAGTACGAAGGTCAGTGAAAGGAACAGGGGACGAGGGACGAGCACGAGGAGAGCGACGAGTAGCCCAAGTACGAGACGGAGGAGGAGAGGACAAAGGCGGAGAACTGGGGAAAACAGCGGGGGAGGAGTCAGGAGGAGGAAACGTGGGACCGGAGACAGGAGGAGAGGCGGAGGAGGGAGGAGAAGGAGAGGGGAGACCAAGGGTCCGAAGACCCGAGACAGGAGGAGGAAGTGGCTGCTGCTGCTGGTGCTGCTGGTGCTGCTGCTGCTGCTGCTGCTGCGGCTGCGGCTGCTGCTGGGACTGCTGCTCCTGCGGCTCCAGCTGCTGCTGCTGCTCCTCCAGCCGCTGTAACTCCCTCTCCTCTCTCTCCAACGCCAGCTGCTCCTCACGGGCACGGCGAACACGAGCCTGGTGCCTAGTCGGGTAGGGGTGGGGGGGCGGAGTAGTGTCCGGAGCAGCGGCAGCTCCAGAGTCCACCCCCGAAGGACCAGGCACACCACCCCCAGAGGCAGCACTAACACCAGCTCCAGACCCAGGCTCACCAGAACCCGAAGGAGGCGCACCCTCACCCCCAGACGGAGCACCCCCAGTGTCCGCGCGACCAGCACCAGCTCCCGGAAGACAAGAGTCCTCTGCACCCACCGGCTCAGCTCCAACTCCAGCACCCCCAGAACCAGAAACCGGTACAGGAACAGGCTCGGCACCAACCTCTCGAGAGCTAGCACCTGCGGCACGCTGCGAGGAGGACTGTGGGGAGGGAGGCTGTACTGGAGGGGCTACCGAAGGAGTAGGTGTAGCCTGGGACACACCTGACGGGGCTGGACCAGGGGGGGGAGGCTGTACCGGGGGAGCAGGAGGGGGAGCGGCAGTCAGGAAGAGGGGGGGAGGAGGAACCGGGAGACCTCGACTGGGGTGCCTGACGAAGTACGGGGTGGACTCCTCGAAACGGACCGTCATGGGAGTCAAAGAACCGGTGAGAGGGAGGGTGGTAAAAGGTGAAGTCAGAGGAGTCCTCAGGGAAACCAAGGAAGACACAAGGAACGGCGCGAGGCGAGAGCTTGTCCGCAGAGGTGTCGCGGACAAGAGCCAAGCAACCCCAGACACGAAACCTCGACGCAACACCAGGGGACCCGGTCCAAAGACTGGTCGGCGAAGCCTCTGGCCGAGAGACGCGTGGCCAGAGGTTCAGCTGGTGCGCGGCGTACCGAACCGCGTAAGGCCACAGAAAATGGGGGGCACGGGCGTGAGTCAGGGAGGTGCGGGCGATCTCCATGACCAAGCCTATGCGGCGCTCAGCAACCCCATTCTGCTGTGGGGACTCTGGAAGCGTCCAGGACTGACGAATGCCCTGCTCGCGACAGAATCCAGCGAGAATGCCGGAGCGAAACTCACCCCCGCGGTCGGAGTGAAGACAGCTGACACGACGACCACGAGTGTCCGCGGTGGTGAGCAACCACCTGATCAGCGTAGAAGTCACGTCGGACTTCTTTGCCAGGGGGAACACTGTGGTGTAGCGGGAGTAGTCGTCAACGACCACCAGAAAGAAACGCTCACGCTCAGGGCCAAGGCGAGAGGCGGGGCCCCAGACGTCCAGGTGAAGCGTCTCAAACGGCTCGGTGGCCGGACGAAGGGAGGAGGAGTGAGGGGTGGCGCGCAGCCGACCCTCGACGCAAGGACCGCACGGTGGCGCAAGGGACGGCGGCAGCGACGGCAAGACACGCGGGAGACCTAAGACCAGACGCTGACTAGACATAGCGCGCAGACGTGGAAGAGAAGGGTGTCCCATCCGGTGGTGCCACAGAACGGTGGGGTGGGCAAGCGACCGGCAGGAGCAAGACGCAGCGACTGGACTGGACGCGACTACCTGAGGGGACGTAACCACCTGGTGAGACGCAGGGAGGAGACTAGGGGGAGGGACATGAAGAGTAGGGGCTGCTGCGACGGCGGCTGCTGCGGCTGCTGCTGCTGCTGCGGCGGCGGCGACTGCTGCGGCTGCTGCTGCTGCTGCTGCTGCGACCGCTGCCGTGCATGCGGGCCAGTGTGAAGAGTGTAGAGACCGGAGCCCGGCTCAGCAGCAAAGGTGGCCAGAGGCTGGTAAGAGTCCCCGTCAACACACACCGCAGTCTCCCCAGAAGGCTCAAACCACACACCCACGTGCTGACTCACGAGGGGTCGCACGCCCACCAAGTTCTGGGAGAACGAGGGGACATGAAACCCAGTGAGAGACCCGGAGGGAGCAGCAGGACACGGCAAAGTGGTAGTGTGACGCGCAGTGACTGGTCCCGAGGTGGGATCAGCCAGCGCCACAGAGACAGGCGCAGGAAGTGGCGTAAGTGTCGTGCTGTCACGAAAGAAGCAGTGCGAGGCTCCAGAGTCCAGCGTGAAAGACAGTGAAGCGTCCTCGCCGGTACCACGCCGCTGCTCCACCCACCGGGGCTGGCAGTACAGGGGGCGACTGACGAACGCGGGCGTCGCCACCACCAGCAGTCGCAGTGGAGTCACCGGTCGCTGCACGAGACGTCTCTCCAGGCCCTGCACTCCCACCACCGCCAGTCGCAACGCCACCCCCACTACCTCCGCCTCCACCAACGCCGCCGCCAGCACCGCCCCTCTTGCCACCCCTACCGCGGGACCGCGACGAAGTCGTAACAGCAGCTGCGGTCGCGTCAGTAGCGGCAGTGGCGAGAGAGGCAGTAAAGGTGGGCAACTGCGGGACTGTGCACCCGTGGAAGAGTGGGGGGGGCACAGCACCAGAGGCAGCGGCTACGGAGCGGAGGTTGCTCTCGATGTCCTTGAGCGCAGACTCAAGGACCTCAATAGTGAGCTCACTAGGGTGCTTCAGGAGAAGCGCGTCACGAACGGAGGCAAGGCGGTCAGGGAGGCTAGTGGCGATGAAATAGATAGTAATCGCCATGGGAGGAGGAAGCAGTGCAAGCTGTGCCTCAGTGCAAGCAGCGCGGTAACTAGAGTCGAGCGAGCGGAGGTGAGCAATCAAGTCAGCAGAGCGCTCAAACGAGGCGAGATCAGGGAACAGGAACGGGAGGAAAAGGCGGCCAAGAGAGACAGTGGCAGGAGTGGAGTAGCGGGCCTTAATCGCAGTCAGGTACTCAGCAGCAGTGCGAACCTGAGTAAAGTGGACCTCCTCAGACTCAGGGAGGAGGGTGCTGAGCGCGATGCAGGCCGCAGCGTCACGCGACGTCCAAATTGTCTGATCAGCACGCTGGCTAGTAAAGCGAGCTCTAGCGGCGTCGTCAGGGGCAGGGCCTAAAGGCGTAGGGTCGGGGGGCGCAGGGAGGGCACCAGTAGCGTGCGCCCAGAGGGTCTCGCCTGACTGGACCTGACTCTCTAACTGACGGCGAGCGCGCATAAGCCAGAGTGAAAAGTCAAGGGGTCTACCGTCAGCGTCGAAACGAAGAACACTAGGAGTCGCCATAGTGAAAACTGACGGGAACGCGGAAGCCGGAAACCCTAAACGAGGTGGCGTGGCGAAACTCGGTGGAGTGGCGGCCAGCGCGGCACGCAAGCACGCAGGGAGAAAGGGAGGCACGGGCGCAGCGGGCGAGCGGGCAAAGGGACGCGCGGGCGGGCGGAGAGGCCTAGCGCTACGCAACGGGGGGGCGTTATGGGTAGCCGCGCGGGGGGCTAATGGCAGCCGCGCGGGTGCGGGGGCGGGCGTTAAGGCAGCCGTGCGCGACGCGCGCGGAGGCGCTCAGCTGCGGCGGGCGCAGCGGCGGCGGGCGCAGGCTGCGGGCGCAGCTACGGGCGACGGGAGCGGGCGCGGCAGTGACGCGCGCGGAGGCGGGCAGCGGCGGCGGGCGTCGTGACGACGGGCGCAGGCTGCGGGCGCGACGGCGGGCGACGGGAGCGGGCGCGGCAGCGACGTGCGCGGGGGCGGGCAGCGGCGGCGGGCGTCGCGGCGACGGGTGCAGGTTGCGGGCGCGACGGCGGGCGACGGGAGTAAGCGCCGCGGCGGCGCTCTTAGGGGGGGTGACGGGCGACGGGACAGGCGGGGAGAGCGCGACGCGACGGGGGGCAGGGGAAGGCGCGATTTGACGGGCAGAAGGGGGGGGAAACGCGACTCGACGGGCAGCGGGGGGGGGGAAACGCGACTCGACGGGCAGCGGGGGGAAAAACGCGACTCGACGGGTAGCGGGGGGGGAAACGCGACGGGCACCAGGGGGGAGGAAGGTCGCTACGCTACTCGAGTAGGGGATCGGCAGAGCGGGCGGTAACGAAGGAACGGGACGAGAGCGGGCCGGCGCTAGGCTCGGGCAAGACGTGCGTAAGTAATACGAGAGAGGGAGACAGGCTCGGGCGATACGAACGAGGTCGGGAGGAGCGGGATCCCACAGGATCCTAACCTAGGTGATACCATGTCAGAATCACAAGTGTTGTTTCATTGATGGTGGTTGGGGTACAAGTAGCAAACCCTAACATACGTACCCCCTAAGACAAACCTCACTACAGGCTACCAACATTTGACAGGAAGAGCATGTACCAAGTTTTTGGAAGCCGATAGGTTGCCCATGCGGGCAAGGCACAAGGATGGGGAGTAATCGTAGGCTTTATCATGTAGGGCTGAGATGCACCTCTGATATTTTGTGTTTGATTTGCGCCTGTGTGACTGTTGGTAATTTTGATCGTACCGTATAAAACTGATTCACAACCTAAAACACACATGCAATATAATGCCATGCTGCTGGTAGAGAAACGTGACAATACAAAATGCTGCTTATAATGAGTGGATGTTCTTATAATGGTTGTTGTTTCATTGTCACAAATTCTATATTACAGAATTTACGAGTAAAAAGTATTACCTATTGTGTTTCATACTGTTAAAAATGTTACACAACCCTATACAGAAACGAGTTACCCCCTGTCGTGGCTACCCTAGTGGCGGAAAGGAGTGTTCGTAGCAAGAAGTGGGAGTGCAAAAACTATGCGCGAGGTATGCAGCAACTATCCCCCACCATTCCTCCACTTAATGTCACAAGTATGTTCCGTTTGGCATACTTTGAACTAGGTTAGAACATTTTTTTGGCATAGTTTTTTGGGGCCGAAATTTTGTGCATGATGCGCGCGATGTCAGATTATGTTATTTGTCTAGCCTGCAGTGGGGTGCTCATTAGTGAGTACAACCCCTTAGGGTTTCCTATATGTATCCTGCTGCTTGCTAGTTAACCCATCATTCCCATTCTCAATTCTCACCATTCTCCTTCGCATACCCAAAACCCTAGTCCTAGGGCACATCCTACTACCTCTTAGTGTGGGCCTAGGCTACTAAGCCTAGGCCCCACTCCTAGTATTCCTGACATGGTATTCAGAGCAGGCACGTTCCTGCCGCCTTCCTGTATGGGCCCACCACCTGCTTCCGCTGCCGTACTGTCCGCCGCGCGCCCCGTGGTGCGCGGCGGCCAAACCCTAATTTTTCATCCCGCCGCGCGCTCGGAGCGTGCGGCGGTTTTCTGCCTACCGTGCGCCCCGAGGCGCGCGGCGGTTTTCTGCCCGCCGTGCGCCCCGAGGCGCGCGGCGGCTTTCTGCCCCGTCACTCCGCGAGTCGCCCCCGGGAGGAGCTGCGACGGGCGACGGGGACCCGCGCGTCGCCCCCCGTCGCCCGTCGTGGCCCGAGCGACCTCCGTAGGGCCCGCGCGCGGCCCGTCCAGCCTGCGCGCGGCCCGTACGGGCTGCGCCAGGCCCGCGCGCGGCCCGTACGGGCTGCGCCAGGCCCGCGCGCGGCCCGTACGGACTGCGCCAGGCCATGGCGCACCTCGAGCCGCCCGCCACTGCAGCAGCAGCCCCTGGAGCCGCCCGCAACTGCAGCAGCAGCCCCTGGAGCCGCCCGCAACTGCTGCAGCAGCCCCTGGAGCCGCCAGCAACTGCAGCAGCAGCCCCTGGAGCCGCCAGCAACTGCAGCAGCCGCCCCTGGAGCAGCCGCCCCTGGAGTCGCCCGCCACTGCAGCAGCCGCCCCTGGAGCCGCCCGCCACTGCAGCAGCCGCCCCTGGAGTCGCCCGCCACAGCAGCAGCCGCCCCTGGAGCAGCCGCCTCTGCAGCAGCCGCCCCTGGAGCCGCCCGCCACTGCAGCAGCCTCCCCTGGAGTCGCCCGCCACAGCAGCAGCCGCCCCTGGAGCAGCCGCCTCTGCAGCAGCCGCCCCTGGAGCCGCCCGCCACTGCAGCAGCCTCCCCTGGAGTCGCCCGCCTCTGCAGCAGCCGCCTCTGGAGCAGCCGCCACTGGAGCCGCCGCCCCTGGTGCAGCCGCCCCTGGGCCCGCGACGCCGCCCCTGGAGCAGCCGCCCCTGCAGCAGCCGACCCTGCAGCTGCATGCGACGCCGCTCCTGGTCCCGGTGCAGCCGCCTCCTTTTCCTGTCACCCGCAGTCTTGTTCCTCTCGTGCTGTATGTGTCGCTTCTAGCCCGCTCCGTGTTCGTTCGTCTTGCTCGTGTATTTGTTTGTTTTGCCTGTGTTCGTTTGTTCTACCTACCTACCTACCTACCTGCGCCCTCGTGCCTTGTGCCTTGTGCCTTGTGCTTCGTGCCTCGTGCCTCGTGCCTCGTGCATCGTGCGCCCTGCTCCGCGCTGTTGCTCTGCACGCGCGGTTGCCCGCGCCTTCGTGCGCTCTACCCTACCTGCTCCGCGCTGTTGCTCTGCACGCGCGGTTGCCCGCGCCCTCGTGCGCTCTACCCTACCTGCTCCGCGCTGTTGCTCTGCACGCGCGGTTGCCCGCGCCCTCGTGCGCTCTACCTACCTACCTACCTACCTACCTGCGCCCTCGTGCCTTGTGCCTTGTGCCTTGTGCTTCGTGCCTCGTGCTTCGTGCCTCGTGCCTCGTGCCTCGTGCATCGTGCGCCCTGCTCCGCGCTGTTGCTCTGCACGCGCGGTTGCCCGCGCCTTCGTGCGCTCTACCCTACCTGTTGGTGTAAGGGCCTAATAAACTCAAGCTATTAGGACTTAATCAAACTTAAAACCTCTCCTCGGGGTCACCTCCAAGGGTCCCTGGGTGCCTGGTACAAGACCAGCCCCTATCCTCGGGTCCGAGTTTGTAGAGAGAGGGATCAAGAAGGACTTAGTCAAAACAGCAAGAGCACCTTGAACGTCGCGCAGCGTGCCGTGCAGACCGTCGGTCGGATTAAGCTGAGAATTCGCTATATCGAAGCTCGCTCCAAGAGCTTTAAAATGAGCCAAGTTGCCTCGCGAAAAGTTCTGCCATTACTAAGTTATGGCTCGGACAGCGTTTGCCTAGCGTTGGAGTGCTAGCATACTAGCGTTGAC